GGCTGAGATCTACGCCACAGCCATGGCTGCACAGGAGTTACGCTGGCTCACCTACCTGCTGACCGACTTGGGAGAGCGGCCTCGTTCTCCTCCACTGCTGTACGTCGACAACAAGGCCGCCATTGCCTTGTGTCAAGAGCACAGACTGGAGCACAGAACGAAGCACATCGCTCTGCGTTACTTCCTGGCTCGAGAGTTGCAGCAGCGTGGTCAGCTTCGTCTTGCTCACGTGGCCACTCGGGCCAACACTGCTGATATATTCACCAAGGCGCTTCCGTCTGGTGATCATCAGCGTTTTTGCACTCTGTTAGGCCTTGTGCCCACGTTTCCTCACTTGCTGTAGACTTTGCTTGTTCTGTGATCTATATATATACCTGCATGATTGCTCTGCTAGGTAGAGATCACTCTGCTGTTGTTGTTGCATATATACCTCTGCATGTGAACTGGCCTTGTGGCCCTTTGCTTGTGCTCAGTATGTGTGGTGACGTTGTGATCCAGCCTGAGCTTGCTTTACTTTTCTTGACTGGTCTTGTGACCCCTTGCTCTCCCCCACTTTGCCTATGGGGGTGTGTCAAAGTATATGCCAGTGTCATAATAAAATGTAGGCTTTAGTGGGGTAGCTAATGTAGGGTATAGGTTTTGTTACTTGTACCCAACTTTCTAGATAGTGAAAACATCCTTTTTCTCTCAACAGTATTTTACCCTGATAATTTGGGCCCTGCTAGTGGGGGTCCTCATTTTACACAAGGTCAAAGAGCTAGTTGATGACCTAAGTAGAACTGACGGAAACACCCAGCGACACACAGGCGCAGACAGAAACTGGCCGATCCCCAGGAGGCACGTGCATGGATTAAAATGGTCAGTCCCATCATTCAATTAACTTGTTGACACTTGCCAACTACCACCTAGTACTTGGACGAACAGCATGAACAATCTCATCCGCCAACAGTCGGTCATGCGTGTCACTGCTTTCAACCATACCCTGACAGAACATAAGTTGGAATGGAAGTCATGAAATTCGTGAGACTCTGGACCAGATTGGGGCACGAAAAAAAAAAAAAAAAACACAAGAACAATGCAGTACCGGTGGTACCTTGATGAGTTTCTGGCTCTTCTTGGGGTCCATGAAGTGGTTGATGTGATGGATTATGGCCCGCTTTGTCCGTGCCGCCCCAACACGGTCAACAGCCTTCAGCACTCGCAGGAGCGAGCGCTCTTCCACATCGATTGCTGACAGCTGCCGGTCCAGCTTGTCTGCTAGATCGGCAACATCAAACTTATGTGCTGCTTCGAGCAGTGGAAGCCCATGTTGCTGTTGGTTAAAGGGAACATTGCAATTTGGGTGAAAAAGACGTGACAACAATGGAAAGAGAGAACCTGCAGCAGTGGATTCAGAGCAAGTGTGTCGCATTGCAATTACCTTGAGAGCAGCTACATTGGGAGTCATGTCGAAACCGTACATGAAGGCGAGGAGCAGCCTCATGGTGTGGCCGTCCACATCCGCCAGCTTGAACACCTGATCCCTCTCATCCGCTGCATCCTCTAGCATCGACTCCAGCACTGGCGACCTGAAGAGAAAATGAGAGATATAAGAAACAAAAAGAACCTGCAGAGCAAAGTTGAGAAGCTTGGCATGTGGTGGTATGTGGTGTTTAAACAAAGGCGTAAGTTACATGTTACCATAATGCTACGATGTTGCGGTGTGCACGGATCTTGGTCCCATCAACAGCCTCGAAAACCACGTCCGTGAACTTTTCCCGCTCAAACAGGTCCTTCAGCTTTGCAGCGAGGCGTGCCAGCTCAGCATGCCTGAAATTGTGCACCACACAGAAGCAAATTACACTTACCAAAGGACTGAATTCATTGGTACAGTAACAGATACAGAGATTGTAGTTGATGAGCAAGCCACGATCAAGTACCAACATGTGTTGTACGGTTTTGTTCAAGTAGTTTTCCGCGTATGAAATCTACCGCCAGTTTTGTATACAGGCCCACCTGTTTGTCTCAGGTAACTGATTGCTTCTGAATGCTCCTGGGCTATACAGGTTAACATGAGTGCAGAAAAGGGAACAAGCCAGCAGGAAGAAGCAAAAAATTGAAGACATGCCACTATGATCTTATCAGCATAACTGGATAAAATTCATTCTCTGTGAAAACAGTGTGGCAGACTATGGATGTGAACTTGAAGGAAAAGAAAGTGCTCATTATAAAGCATAGAGGAGACCTACCGTGGTGGGCCATGTGAGCCGTTCCATCCACTGCACAGATGAAGCACGGGAGAAGGAATAAGTTGGCATGTCTAAGGGAACAAGCGACAGGAAATTATAATTTCGAGTGATTTAAGATATAATCAGGTTAAAAGATCCAAGAAAGCGGGAAAGTGGGAAGAGGATAAAACTTGCTCACTGGTAGTAAGAATGTCGTGCTGCCATTTTCCTAGCCACTCAGATTCACGCTGAAGTAGTAGTCCCACCGGTGAACGCTCGAGCAGAAGAATCGACTAGCCCTACTGACCCGAATGTTTGAAGTAATCAAACCGCAGCTAGGGCGTCCTAGAAATCAGACTGAATTCGACCGTCCCCACACCTGAGGCAAATGGACTCGCGGGCGTGAAACGGGATTGTTACCGCGGAGTTTCGTATCTCGCCAGCATTGGATAACGAGTATGCGAAGCTGGCAAACGAGACCACATGCGACCACCAAGCAGCTAGCTGGCGATTCTGCGATGCCGCCGATGCCGACGCTGCCGCTTTCTTTGCAAGGGGGTACCATCAAGAAAGGCGCAGCGAGTATCATCTTTTCAAATCCAACGGCGGTCGCGCCGTGCCACCTGCGTGAACATTGCTCATCTCGTGACGCTTTGGATGTGCATGCTGCTTAGGCGCTGCCGAAGCGCCATGATTCCTCGTTCTAAGTGAAGCTAGGGCGTGAGAGACGAAGGCGTGATCCGGCGCTGACCGAGGTTCGCCAGAGTCCTAAAGGTGTACAGAATACTGCTCCCTGTCGAATAATACCTAGGTCTCACACAGTTCAAGAAAAGCCATTTGCTGCGAAGTAACCATTCCTTGCCAAACAGTGGCCCAAATAGCAAGAGCGTGGACGGAGACAGCGAAGGGATTTGCGACGCATATTGTGTGGACGAGAACAGCGAAAGGGATTGGCGAAATGTTGTTTTGTAACTCAAGGCCATTCTTGACCAGTCTCGATCTGGCATACGTATTGGCGCTGTAACAAAACGACTTTTCGCATATGAACAGAATCGCGCTTCGTTTCGTGTACTACCTCGATAAAACCATCAAATGTTCGGTTACAACTCAAATCGGGTAACTATTCCTCAATCTTTCTGAAAACGAGCGCTGCCTGACCCGCCCTTACGACGAAAACACAGATCGTGCACAAGAGAAGTGCTAACACTCCGTCATGTAGCAGTAGGACCATTACCACTCTGCATAAGGCTTAGAAAGGGAACAACACCCGTAACAGGGGTGGGCGAGTAAGGGTCCTGATCTGCAGGAAAACGTTGACTCGTGCCTATGCCGCGCCAGGCGCCGTCACTTTCGAGCGTAGATGAAAAAATCGGAAATCTCGCGAGCCTCGCGGTTTATTCATCATCCTAATTCTCAATTTCGGCCACATTGCGAGAGACAGGGGTGATTCGTCGCGCCAAACGACAACGCAAGCTTTCTTCAGGTGAGCGTAAGCACATGGATTGAGGACGTGCCGCACTCTTGTGTTTCGGATAGGCAGATACTGTCAGAGAGCGGCAGCGATAGCCAGATACTGTCAGAGAGCGGCAGCGATAGCGGAGTGGTGGGAACGCGGGGGAGGAAAGATGCGAGAGGACAGTGGGCATAGTAAGCGAAAGGAAGGGGCACAAAGAGGGGCAGACGGACAGGGGGGCAGAGAAGGGTAGGCGGAATGAGAGTCTGGGAATGAGGTTAGTCGAGACGGGTAAGGGAGGCGATTGACTGCAGGAGTGGCGCGGCAAGGCTGACGCAATAACGGGGGAAGCGGGGAGTGAATTCAGAGGTCTTGTGCCGGCGGAATGGCTGGTAAAGGCAGGTGCCATGAGGGGAAAGGGTTGGCGGAATGAGAGTGGGCATGAGGGTACATAACATGAAAAGAAAGCGGGGGAAGGGGGAGAGGGGGGTGTGAAGAAATAGGTTGACCATGGAAAGCGGGTTGAGGAGGAAATCCGTGAAGATTTTACAGAAGCGGGGATGGCTATACGGGAACTCAAGTAGGTGTTCTCCGGTATGGAATGGCTGGCCGCATGAGCGTCGCATGTTCCCTCGGTGAATGGGGAGGGGACCATGGGCCCGCGGGACGAGAGGTAAGCGGGGAGGGGGGCGAGGGAGCCGGCAGGGCTGACGGAATCAGGCGAGAAAATGGTATGACATGACGTGGAGAGAGAAGAGAGCTTGGTGAATAGTGTATGAAGGCGGGACAAAGAGGGTGAAGTGAGGGGGAGGTATAGGTTCGGCAGTGGGGGATGAGAGGTGACAGCAGAGGGGGAAGGGGGGTGATGGCGACTAAATGTAGGGGGAGGTGATGTCAAGGGGGGGGGAGATGAAAGGGGCTAGCAGGGGGAAATGAAAGGGCCTAGAGTAAAATTGCGGTTAACACAAAGCTAGCCTACGAGAACGACCATTCCATATCAGTTTGGTTTTATGGTGTGGTGGTGCACTTGCGCCCGCCGCGTGCTCCCACGGTATCACCGCCACTGAAAATCTGGGGGGGTTGGGTATTGATGAATGACTCAGGAAAGACTGCAGCGAAAGCACGTCGAAAGAAAATCCGGTCTGTTCATGGTAATGGAAGGGAGATGAGACGGCGGGGAAACATGGGGAATCAGTGGGGGGATGACGGGAGAGCGATGTTGGAAGCTTAGCGGAATGGGGTGTGAATGTGGAGGCGGAGATGTGGGATGAGGGTAGGTGGAATGGGGGGGATACAAGGGGGGGAATGAGAGGCATTGATGGTGGCATGGGTGTGGTCACATGGCAGGGGATGAGGGGCAAGGTCGGCCTGCATGGGAGGGGATGCATGGTGGGGAATCAGTGGCAGTGCAAGAGGAATGGGGGGTGATAAGGGCGGGAGGGAATGACGTGGCAGGGCTGGCGGAAGTAGGGGAAAGGCAGGCGGAAAGGGAGGGGATACATGGAGGCGGAAGCAGGGGCAAGAGCGGACGGCTAGGGAGGGGATACAAGGCGGGGAATCAGGGGTAGGGCAGGAGGAATAGGAGGTGATAAAGGGCGGAGGGCATGACGTGGTGGGGCAGGCAGATCGTTGGGTAAAGGGTGGGCGGAATGGGGCGTGAAGGAGGGTGGGGGGGATGTGGGGCAACGTCGGCGGCATGGGAGGAGACTCATGGGGGGGGGGGAACCTGAGGCAACATCAGCAGCATGGGAGGGGGGTTTACATGGCGGAAAATCAGAGGTTTGGGGGGTGGTATGGGGTGGGGGATGGGGTGCGGAATCAAAAGCAAGTGCAGCTTCATGGAAGGTGTTTTATGGCAAGGAATCAGAGGCAAGGGCGGCGGCGTGTGAGGGGTTATATTGCAAAAACTCAGAGGCAAGGGGGATGGTATGTGGCGGGGAGCACGGGGCGGGGAATCAAAGGCCGTTATAGATCGTACAAAGCCTCTTTGAATCTGGACGTCATATTGGAACACGCCCTAACTGCACCCGCCCCTCACCAGCTCCAGTCGCGGAGCCACTTCCATCACTCAACCCACTTCCTCCGCCCTGTTGCCATCGTTCGTTCACATCATCCCTCGAACACGTCTCTTCCGTTTTAGGCATTAAAACCCGCCTCACCTCCCTTCCGCCCTCACATCCTCTCCCCATCGCCCTTACTTCCCAGGCATACCCACCCAGCTCCCATCAAAGGAGGCAAGGATAACCCACAGTGGTGCGAACTCATACGAGTGAGACGCCCTGCTACTCTTCTGCAGTCGCGGCAGCGCGTAGCGCGTACAGCAGCGGCCATGGTGCGCAAGGTGGTGCGCGGGCGCGTGGAGCCGCTCGCCGCCGTGGTCTCTCCACAGCAGGCGGCGGCGGCAGCGGCGCGCATATCACGATCGCTGGAGGAGGAGCGCGGCAACGCGGACCGACTGAGGCGATTCAAGCAGGAGAACGCGGTGCTCTGCACGCTCGTGCGCTCGCTATCCGACAAAACAAGCCACGCTGTCATGGTGCGTCCCTGGCAAGAACCCATGCTGAATGTTTGAGCCAATTGTCCCAGGCCCCATGCCCTAGCCATTTGGCAAAACGAGGGTCACAGCGGTGCGAATTCAATCCGTGGCATCAGTCCGCCGTGGCTCCTACGATTGTTTGCCCCTTTGACGAGCTAAATCAGTTGCGTGCACGTGTCAAGCTGTTCTCGCATGAGGTCCCCTAGGGTTGAGTCCTCCTCTCTCACACCCACGAGCTCACGCTGCTGGTGGGAGAACGATTCCTGCAGATGGCGAGTGGCAACACGCACTGTCTGCCAACCCTTCCTCATTCATCCAGTTTCTCTGCTCCCGTTGCCTCTCCCCTGCTCCCGCTGCCTATCCCCTGGTGCCGTTGCCTCTCCCCTGCCCGTTGCCTCTCCCCTGCTCCCGTTGCCTCTCCCCTGGCCGCAGCAGCCACACAAGCAACATCCCCTCTGCTGGACGGCGGTATTCACGCGGAGAGACCAGCCCACCAGGCGCTGCAAGGGTTGTTCCGCCGCCACACAATGCTCGCTTTGCTCCACGCACTCTCCCACGCGCTGCCTGTGCTCGTCCCATCCCATTGGTTCCCATTCGGCCGGGCAGCTGATCAACACCTAGTTACTAACGACCACACTGGGGAGCAGCCTCTAGTCTCAGCGCTTAGCCTCCCACACACGCGGTGTGCGTCTCACACTCTTTGTGCCGCCCTCTCTCAGGTGCCATTCGGCCCGGCGGCCTTCTTCCCTGGCCTGGCCGCCTGCTGCCCGCCAGCCACCTCACCCTCCTGCTGCCCCATGGTTTAGATGCTGAGCCATCTACCACTAAAGTAGACGCTGTGTGCTGTGCTCCTCTCCTCCCACCAGGTTCCTTTTGGCCGCGCAGCCTTCTTCCCCGGGCGCCTGGTCCACACCAACGAGCTCACCCTTCTACTGGGGGACGGGATGTACGCTGAGAGGTCTGCCTCCCAGGCGCTGGGGGTGCTGCGGCGACGTGGCGCGATGATAGAGCGCCAGCTGGAGGGGTGCCGGGCGAAGGTGGAGGAGCTACGTGGCGAGCTGCGATTCGCCGAGCAGGCTGGGGCGGATGCTGAGGTGAGTGAGGGGCGGGAAAGAGAAGCTTCTGCGAGGGTGATGGGGGGGGAAAGGGGAGGGGGTGGAGGAAATGGAGGGGGTGGTGAGGGGGATTGTGCGCGGTGGATTGGTGAGGTAAGCAGAGGATCATCCGCTGATTCCGGGACTGTGGAATGTGATAGGCACCATCTCCTCAGCCCAGATTACGTTCCATAGGAATAGAAAGAGCGATTACCTTGGCAGGCACACAGGGCTGTCACATGCCCAAATGTCCAAATATGCAACCGAATCAAAATTGTGATGTCCGCCTGGTATGCTTGTCTTGACACAGCTCACGTCATAATCAGCGTATAGCTCCAGCCAAACATAAAATGCCCGAGGTGTTGAGCTGTATCCTTGATTACTCTGGTCACAGGGTTTACAGGGTAAACTAAATGATTAGAACGCACGCTTTTCCCTTACTGCCCCGATCAGTGCCGTTGGTCGGCGCGGCCAATTGCACTTCCTGGACACGCCTCCATTGCTTTCTCACGTCCCCACCTGCCACTCCCGGCATCTTCTCCTTCTTCCCTTGGCTTCCTCTCTCTTCACACACTCTTTCTCTCGCACACTGGGGCACAACAGGAGGGGTGTGTGGAGATACACGAGTATGAGGAGGAGGTGGAGGGGGACGAGGAGGAGGAGGAAAGAAAGGATGAAGGAGCACGGCAAGGAGAGGAGATCAGAGTAGGCAGTTCAAAGGGGGGGGCAACAGGGGGGGATCTTTGCAACATGGTTGGGACGTCTAGAGAAGCGGATGGTGGGAGTGGTGGTGCGGACGAGGAGGATCGGCGCATTGAGGCTCTGTTCGCCGAGATGGAAGCTGCAGAGGCGGCTGCTGCTGCTGGGGATGATGATGAGGAGGAGGAGGAGGAGGAGGAGGAGGGAAGTGAGGAGGAAGAAGAGGAGGAAGATGATGAAGAGGAGGGTGAGGAGGTGGGAGAGGAAGAGGAGGAAGACGAAGAAGATTGGGAGGAAGAAGAGGAAGACGAGGAGGATGGGGAGGAAGAGAGGAGGGAAGAATAAGAGAGGAGGGAAGAACAAAAGAGGAGGGAAGAACAAGAGAGGAGGGAAGAACAAAAGAGGAGGGACGAACAAGAGAGGAGGGACGAACAAGAGAGTAGGACAAGAACACAGAGCGAGCAGAAGCTAATTGAGGGCTTGTCAGCAATGAGGATCGGTGCAGTGGGAGGGCAGCAGCGAAAGGCGGTGGAGGGAATAAGAGCAGCAGCGGGGCAGGGAATGCCCCCTTCACAGAAGCTGATGGAGGGCGTGTCGGCAATGAGGATAGGTGCTGCAGGGGGAGGGCAGCAGGGGCAGGCGGTGGAGGCAGGCAGAGGAGAAGCGCAGCAGGAAATTCCCCCTTCACAGGCGGAGCGGAGGGAGATGGGGCCATCAGCCAGGAAAGTCAAGGTGAGGCAGGGATGAGTAAGCAGTCAGGTCAAGGGATGTGTTAACCTGTAGAATTGAATGCAACTTCTGATATGATAACTCAATCTTTGAGTGATTTTCTGAACCGAAAAGCCAGGTATAGAAATAGACTAGAGTCCTCCCAAATAGGAAATGTCGTATTGAGGTATTTGATTGAATAGCAGGCTACCTGTCGGTGCAGTGGGAGGGGAGCAGGGGGAGCATCAGGAGTGAGCGAGACAGGGAGGAGCAGCATGGGAGGGAAAGATTCTTGTGAGATGTGCGTATCCCGTGACTTTTACTTTACCTGTTGCTGAGAAGTTATGTTTGCAAGTAAGCTTGAGGCGAGGTAGAAAAATGCGTGCAGCTCATCCTCTCACATCACATCCATGCTTAAAAGCGCATCAAAGCTCAAATCCTTGAGAAGCATCCACAGCTTCAATTTACATCTGTGATTCCCTGTTGCGCTGCCAACCTGCTTAACTGGCCTTTCTTCGGTGGCCTACTCCTCTTGCCCCTCCTGCTGTGTTGTGTGGTGTGCCCACGGCAACAGGCGTTCTCAGGAGCTGTTGTGGAGCGAACCTCCGACTCCTCTTCCTCTCTACCACTCCCTTCTGTGCCATTGGTAACACACTGGCCGTGCTACTCCCATTTTCCCCATTTACTCCCACTAGTATTTGAGTGCTACTGCTGCTGCCGCCGTCGCCGCCGCCCGCTGCTAGAGGGCTCACCTTCTTGTAGCAATGCTTTCCTTTAGAAGTTACGTGGTCATCCTTGCCCCGAGTGAAGAAGGTTACCGTGACGTGGTTACTTCACAGTCGCTTATCTCTTCCTCCTCTTATACTCATACTCCCACTCATTCTCTCAGCCTGCTTCTGAATCCGATCTACTCTCATTCTCGTGTTCTTTTGGTGCCCATTATCCTCCAGCCATCATCACCAGCAAGGCCTCTCTCGAGATTCAAGCAGCGTCGTGCCGGTCAACCGTGACAAGAATCAGAATCCAAAGACATTCTGTGCTTTCCCAGCAACCAGCCCCTTCGTGCTCCTCCCCGTCGTCCGTTTCTCTTGCCAGTTTGCCGTGTTTCTGGCTTTCCAGCTTCACGATTGTGATCCGCTTGTTTTATGCCCAGACTATGCACCATCACCAGTTTCGTGAATGAAGCATGCCCCTTCAAAGTTGCCACGACTGTAACATCACTGGTTGACAATCAAGCATCTTCAATGCAAGCAGGATGATTGGTTAATTTTGGGGTAGGCTGGAAAATCTCGCTTGCAAGGCAAAGTTACGCTGAAAATATGTCAAAATGCCAACTTGCACTGGAGAGTAGAAGCTCCTAGAATGAAGGGTAATAAATTAGCCGCAGAGTACGGAAAAGAAAGTCTGAAAAATGCTGAAAAGGGGCTGAATTAGTGTGAAAGGTCGCTTCGCTAGCTACTTCACCCGTCCAACGAGAGGCCTCGCTGGCTCAAAGCCCAAACAGTGACTTTCAAACCGTACACACGCATGTTTACGAGCCAACCTCAATTCAACTGGTAGATGTGGTAGAAGATTAACAGCAATGGGTGTTGTTTTCTAGAGTGTTTCTTGGAGCAACCAAAATGAGCGGATTTCACTAAAGCTTGGCTGTACATGCCACTCATGGGTATTGTCGTTGCTGCTGGTGTTGTTGGTGCACCTGCTGCTGTAACTCGTGAATCTCCTGCCTTTGAATCACAGCTACTGCTGCAACTTGCTGCACACACTGCTGTAGCACCTGCTGCTGTTGCTGCTGCTGCTGAAGCTGCTGCTGCTGCTGTATTTGTAGCATCAGCTGCTGCTGACTCGCCTCATGAGTCGGCAGCATCACCTGCTGCTGTGCTTGTGGCTCATGCGCTTGTGTCAACTGGTGTATACGCTGCTCCCACTTTTGCTGCTGCTGTAACCGTTGCACATTTAATGACAGATATTGCAACAGCCAATTTCCCTCCTGAATCAGCATTGACGGCTGAAGCTGCACTGTTGACTGCAGTCGTTGAAGCAGCAAAGCCATGGCAGCATCGGAGCCAGTGGCAGCCATCCCGGGTGAATTATGAGAGCCATGCTGCCTACATGGGGCCCCCATGGCCCCCATGCCCCCCATGCCCCCCATGGCTCTCACCACTCCTGGTGTCACAATCGCCTCCATGCCGCCAGCAGCACCAGCAGCAGTGCCAGCAGCACCAGCAGCAGTGCCAGCAGCACCAGCAGCAGTGCCAGCAGCACCAGCAGCAGTGCCAGCAGCAGCAGCAGCAGCAGTGCCAGCAGCACCAGCAGCAGTGCCAGCAGCAGCAGCAGCAGTGCCACCAGCAGCAGCAGCAGTATTGCCACCAGCAGCAGCAGCAGCAGTGCCAGCAGCAGCAGCAGCAGCAGTGCCAGCAGCAGCAGCAGCAGCAGTGGCAGTGGCATCAGTGGCAGCAGTAACACCAGCATTACCAAACTCAGCAGCACGTTGATTATCACGAGTACCACTATTGCCAACAGCAGCAGCAGCACAAGAATTAGCAACCGTGGCAGAAGCAGCAGTGCCGGCAGTGGACGGCTCTCCCCCACGGTTACCCAATGCCTCCCCCCCAACAATGACAGCAGTGGCAGCAGGAGTGGCCACTGCTGCCGCCACAAGTGTCGTCGCCACCACTGCTTCAGCCAGATTCTGGGAGAGAGGGAGCGGCACAGATGTACCTTCCCCAAGTATGCCCTGCATGGCTGCTGCTGCCTCTGGCTGCACGAAGAGCTGCATGGGTGAGCTGGGCTGCTCTCCCCTCCCTGCGCGCTCTCATCACTGCTGCCCTCCTCAGCCCCGCCACTCTCTCTCGCTCCCACTTGCACTCCCACTCGCACTGCTCTCACTGTCACTACTGCCATCGCCACCATTGCTTCTACCATCACCCCCTGCCTCTCCATCCCGCCTGCCATTCCCTCCCTCGCACGCATCCCCCCATGTAACCCTCCTCTTCTTACCATTGCGCTTTACTTCCCCCAGTCTAGTCTCCTCTCCACCTCTTGCTCCTCTCCCTCCTCACCCTCCTCTGCCTCCTCGCCCTCCTCGCCCTCCTCACCCCCTCGCATCATCAGCATCTTCCATGCATTCTGAAAGGCTGATCCTTTTGCTGCCCCTTTCCCTGCCCGCCCATCCTTCAGAACCTTCCCAGCTGCCCGATTTAATCGCTGCAACTTCTGTTTCCGCCCCTCCCTCCTTCCTGTTCCCGGCCCCACAACACGTGCAAAGGGGGGAGTGTGGGAGGGGGGATGTTGAGAGTGGGAAGATTGAGAGGGGGAATGATGCTGCTGGGACGCACAGGGGTGGTGGAGACGACGTGTTTGGGGTGCACCAAGGGGATGGGAGCTGGGCTCAAACGAGCTGGGCTGATAAGAAGAGGGTTGATATGAGGTGCGCTGGGGAGGGGTGGGTTCATAAGAAGTAAGCTGATATGAGGAGGGTTGATATGAGGTGGGTTGATATGAGGTGGGTTGATATGAGGTGGGTTGATATGAGGTGGGTCGATATGAGGTGGGTCGATAAGTGGTGGGTTGAGAAGTGGTGGGTTGATTAGAGGTGGGCTGATAAGAGGTGGGCTGATAAGAGGTGGGCTGATAAGAGGTGGGCTGATAAGAGGTGGGCTGATAAGAGGTGGGCTGATAAGAGCTGGGAAGATAAGAGGTGGGTGGATAGGCGGCTGGGCAGGGCTGTGGCGGAGTGTGGATAGGCCGCTGGGCGGCCCCGTGTGCTGCGGAGAGGCTGCCTGAGACGCCGGCTGTGCTGCACCACTTGCAGAGGAGAGGGGCGCACCCGCAGAGAAGCAGGCACGGGGCAAGCTGCTGATGGTGCGTGTGAGCGTGCGGGCATTGCTACTGCAGTTTGTGTGCTGTGCGCCTGCTGCCATGTGCCTGCACCCATTGCTGTGCTCTGCCCGTGTGGCACTGATCCCACCCCCACCGCCACCGCCATTGCTGCTCCCACTGCTGCTGCCTGTGCACCAGCCCATGCACCCATTGCTGTGGTCTGGCCATGCGGCACTGCCCACGCCCCCACCCCCACCACCGCTGGTGCTCCCACTGCTGTCGGTGCTGCACCTCCCGTGGGAGGGGTGGGGCGGGCAGCAGTCGCCCCTGCCTGCCAGGCAGCCGCTGCGCTCCACTGCCGCCCTACAGGGCCGCCTCCTGCACCCACTTGCCTCTCCCTGTGTGGCACTGATGCCACGCCAGCACCACCATCATCGTCACTATCGTCATTACCACCATCGTCACCATCACCACCACCAGCATCACCACCATGAGCATCAGCAATCCCACTGCGATCTAAATCCTGGCATCCACGCCGCACGGATCGCACCCACGTTCCCACCTCTTCACGGCCCCTCTTCCCGTTCCCCCCACCACACGCACCTTGCGCCACTGCATGGACCCTGCACTGGCCCTGCCCGCACCTGCATGCACCCCCCTGCACCTGGCATGCCACGCGTGCCAGCAGCCTGCCGTGCCACTGCGGCCCATCCAGTGCCAGCAGCAGCGCACGCACGTCCCACCACGCCACCCACTGCAGCAGCACCGCGCTGGGGTCACCACGGACACCCTTCTCCTTCCCCACCTGCCCCTTCTCCTGCCCCACCTGCCCCTTCTCCTGCCCCACCTGCCCCTTCTCCTGCCCCACCTGCCCCTTCTCCTGCCCCACCTGCCCCTTCTCCTGCCCCACCTGCCCCTTCTCCTTGCCATCATCCCCAACCTCCATCTCCTCCTTCTCCCCATCCGCCTCCGCCCTCCCCTCCCCACACTCCCTCTGCTGCTGCACCCCCCCTGCTAACCGTGCTCTGATCCGCGCCTCCCACCCTGCGCCCAGCAGCTGGGAGCGCTGCTGCCACAGCAGAGCCAGCAGCTCCTCGCCCACCGCCACGCCCCACGTCGCCTGCACCGCGCCCACCACCACCGCCTGCTCCCGCGCCTCCTCCTCGTCCGCTCGCCGCTCCACCACCCCCTCCGCCACCCACTCACACAGCGCCCTCCGCACCGCCGCCACCACCACTGCTGCTGCTGGCACGCCTGCCGCTGCCCCCACAGCCACTGGTGCCTTCACCGCTTCCTTAGCACACAGCAACTCGTCACCCATTTGATCCTCTCTCCCCCACCCTCCCTCTTCCCCATTTCGCTCATGTCCGCTCGTGTGTCGCCTCCTTCTATCAATTTCCACCTCTCTTGTTTCTCCTGCCACTTCTTCTCTCACTTCCCCTCTATCTCCAAACTCTGAACCATCTGCTCCACGCGTTTCATCTGCTCCACGCGTTTCATCTGCTCCACGCGTTTCATCTGCTCCACGCGTTTCATCTGCTCCACGCGTTTCATCTGCTCCACGCGTTTCATCTGCTCCACGCGTTTCATCTGCTTCACGCGTTTCATCTGCTCCACGTGTTTCTCTCCCACCTCGCTGCACCTCTCTCAACTCCTGCACATGTCGTTCCACCCGCTGCAGAAAATGCGTTCGCCACGCCTCCTCTTGTCGCGCCCTGGCTGCAGCACTGGCTACATCACCATCAGTAGCAGCAGCACCAGCATCAACAGCACCAACAGCAGCATCACCAACAGCAGCAGCATCATTAGCAGCAGCACCATCAGTAGCAACAGCACCAGCATCAACAGCACCAACAGCAGCATCATTAACAGCAGCAGCATCATTAGCAGCAGCATCACCAGCAGCAGCATCGTCGCGTGTCATACCCTCTCCCCCTGTCCCACCTCCACTCATCCGCTCCTCCACGCCCTCTTCCTCCTAGCGCCCCGCCGTGGGCCACCGGATCACAACGGGCGCTGGACCCCCCTGGAGGGCGGCAGTGAGCTTCAGGCGGGCCAGCGAGCGCACAGCCTCGAGGCGGCGCAGGAAGCGACGGCACCAGTAGATCTCGAAGCGAGGGCAGCCCCTGCCGCTGCGGTACAGCAGTGGGGCGATGCGGCGCGCTGCCTGGCGCAGCATGGGGCGCGTCAGAATGAACGGCACCCCGTGCCTCCCCAGCAGGCCCCCGCCCGCGCGTGCGCTCACGGTCCCACTGGGATTGGGATTGGCGGTGGTGGTGGATGGCCCCCCTCCCGGGTCCAGTGGGCCGAAGAGGCGCCTCATGTGCTCCTCCATCACCCCGCCCGCAGCAGCAGCAGCTTCACACTGTGACTCAGCACCCCGCTCAGCAGCAGCAGCAGCAGTGGTGTCACAATCATCACCACCGCTCTGAGCAGCGGCGGCAGCAGCAGTACCGCCAGCATCAGCACTGGCAGCAGTGGCGGGTTCAGCAGCAGCAGCAGCAGCAGCAGCAGGCGAGCCCCAGTGGAAGCCAGGCGGGAAGGAGAAGCGGGCGCGGTCGAGGAGGATGGTGGCGTTGAGCTGCTGCACCCACTGCAGCAGCACCACCTCCACTCGCCCCGCCCTCTGCCAATCCTCCTTCCACACGCACTCCCTCACCCGCCTCTCCACCCTGGCCCTCGTGACGCCCCCCGGCAGCACCATCCACCTGCGGGGGATGCGGGGGAGACAGCGTCGGTGGAAGGGCGGGGGGAACGGAGGGGGGGCGCGGAGTAGGGGGTTGAGTAGAGAGAATGCAGAGATGAGGGTGGGAGGGGCGAGGGGGGGTCACGTAACCTGGAGGTCTGGGCGAGGATGGCGCGCAGGTCAGCATGGGAGAGCTTCAGCCCCCACGCGTGGGTGATGGCGTGCAGCAGGTGAGCGTGGGGCAGGTGGGGGCGGGCGAGGGCGGCGAGGCAGATGGCTCTGATGCGACTCAGCGTGAGGCCTGGCAGCTGCCGCTCCACCACCACACCTGCCGCCGCATCCCCACACACCAGGAACACCTGCCTGCCCTCCTCCTCTCCCTGCTCCGCCTCCTCCTCCTCCTGCTCCGCCTGCTCCTCCTGTGCAGGCCCGCCTTCGCCACGGCCTTTAGCCTCCTCTCTCCTGCACACACCTCCTCTCTCCTGCACACACCTCCTCTCTCCTGCACACACCTCCTCTCTCCTGCACACACCTCCTCTCTCCTGCACACACCTCCTCCCTCGCCTCCGCGTGCTCCTCCTCGTGTTCTCCCCCCTCCACCTGCCTCTCCTCCTCGTGTTCTCCCCCCTCCACCTGCCTCTCCTCCCCCGCCAGCGCTGTCCGGCGAGGGGGGCAGGCGGTGGAAGGGGAAGTGCGGCAGCACCACGCTCTCGTTGCTCACCTGCGCCTGCAGCGCCTGCAGCTCGGGGCTACTCATGGTGGGCAGGGGGCGCACGGAGCGCCAAGCATCATGCGAGGGGGGCTGCCCGGCACTGCAAGGAGCTTGGGGGCTGGGCTGCCTTGGCTCGATCGCTCCGCCCTCCCCTCCCCCACCGCCAGCATCCCCCGTCCGCCCCAACTCTGCCCCCCCTTGCCTCTCCCCCGCCCCTCCCTGTGGTGCAGCAGCGCCCACAGCCCCCCCACTGTCGGCGCTGCTGGCGCTGGTGGCGGTGGCGGTGGCAGCAGGTGGGCGTCCAGAACGGCCTCCTCCAGCACGTGGGCGGGCAGCATGGCGCCCTCCTGCCGTGCCAGGCGCATGAGCAGAGCGCGCGCATGGCGGTACCGGTTCTCCACCCCCGCCAGCAGCCCCATCCGCCTCTCCCTCTCCCACCCCGTGCCCCTGCTCGCCCCACCAGCAGCAGCAGCCCCAGCGGCAGCAGCAGTAGCAGCAACAGTGCAGCCGTCGTATCCCGCCCAGTCCTCCTCATACTCCTCCTCAAATTTCTCCCCCTCCGCATCCTCGTCGTCACTACCTGTCCCCGTTCTCCTGACTTTCGTCCTCAGCCTCTTCCTACCTCTCCCCCACCACTCCACTTCACTCCCACTTCCACCTCCTGCCCTCCCACCCTCCCCCTTCCCCATTCCTGTCCTCTCCCCCCCAGCCCCATCCCCGGCGCCCCTGCGTGCCTCGGCCAGGCGCAGCAGCAGCAGCCCGTACCGCCGCACGAACCTGCTCGCCCATGCGTCAGTGCACCGCCCCTCCTCCACGCCGCACCCCCGTGCCAGCTCCCTCGCCTTGCCCACCAGCTGCGCGCGCCTCACAGCGCGCCCCGCGCCCTCCTCCTCCGCCACCACCCACAGCGCCACTGCCTCCTCCAGCGCGCTCTCCCCCGCGTCCGCCGCGCCCGGCGCGCTCTCCCCCGCGCGCACCCAGCGGCGGCTGTCCTGGGCGATGTGGCGGACGTGCTTGGGGATGAGCCACAGCCCGTAGCGCGCGTGCACGGCGGCCGTCACCATCTTGGGGCTCACGAACGGCCGCACGCACGCCACCATCGCCACCTCGTACCGCACGCGCGCGGCCAGCGCGCTCACCGCCGCTCCCGACCCGCCGTTGGGCGCGCTGGAGCGCACGGCCGCGGCGCTGCCCCGCGCCCACGACGGTGCGCCCGCAGGTACCTGCGCCTCGTCGACCTCTCCGCCCTCATCGCCCCCGCCGCTTTTGCCCGCACTCAGCTCGCCCGCGGCGCCTAAGCCTTCGCCAGCACTACTGGAGTCTGGCGCCTCGCCGATATCGCGTGCGACTCCGTCGTCCTGCGTCCCCCACTCGTCCCCCGCGCGCGTCCCCACGTCGTTGCCGAACTCATCGAGGCCCGCGTCGCGCAGCACGGCGCAGCACCACCAGCGCTCGAACTCGAACAGCGGAGGTACGCCGAACCGCTCTGCGATGCGCCGCGCGTGCTTCTGCAGGTTATGCACGATGCTCGACCTCTGGACCTCCGCCTTCCCCCGAGACGAAGCCGCCTCTCGCGCGTCCAGCGCGCCAACTCCGCCTCCAGCTGCGCGTTCTTATAACGAACGAACTTGTTCTTCCCTACGCTGCTTTCGACGGTGGCCTTTCGGTAGAGTCGATCGATGTCGCTGCTGCCGAGGCGCGTGCCGTACTGCGCGTTGACGGCCGTCGCGATGTGCTCGTTCGCGAGCTCGGGATGCGCGCGTCGCACGGCGACGATTTCGTGCAGCACCAAGGGGCTCACGGCCGCCGCGCGGCTCTTGCCCCGCCGGGCATCGGGCGGAAGCTCCATCGCGCGATCTGCTGCCTGCCTCGCGTGACGTTCCAGCCCCTGGCTATCAGTTGCTGAGGTCAGCAGTTCACCGCTCGTTGTTGAACGACTATCTTTTGATTCACCATGCGGCATTTGCAATCCCCATGTGCTTCTGAGCGGCTTCCCGCACAGACGGGTAAGGGCGTATCCAGCTTCGGCTCATCGGCACTGTTTGGGTCATCCGAGATTCTTGGAAGACCAATCAGGCGCATTTGAAGTACACTACTCGAATACCATTGGTCCTCACATGACCCAAAGTGTACTGATGACCCGAACAGTGCCTGATGACCCGAAGTTGGATACGCCCTAATTGAACGATTGGGTTTCAGGAGGAGGATTGAAGGTTCAGCAGTGGTGTCCTCTAGTGGATTGAGGGTTGTTCCCCGGCAGGCTTGAACATCTTCCACGGGTGAAACCAATAAAATATGAGCTATTGTTTGTAAGGAAAATTCCTTTTCCTTACTTCGCGCCCCTACTTACCGCGTACATGGCCATTCCCGCCATCGGCACCCATAGTGAAACGTTACCCGCTCACAGCACTCGCCTCGGCCACGACTCCCGCCACAATTCGCGATGCGACCCAACGGTTCGGTTGGTAACCCGCGCTCCGGACCTCCACCTCGACAATTTCCCGAACCTCGGCGCTAGGCCCGTAGCGCACCCCAATTTCCCGCATTACCGTTACCACGCTAGCATCGCTATATAACTTCGCTCATGCTTTTCGCTCAACTGTATTGTTTTTGCTTCGATAGTGCAATTCTCGCTCGCTCGCTCAATCACACTCGTAACACTTGGTATTCAGAGCCTACGATCTCCTCTCGGACCGCACCCAGACCTTCGCTTCCCCACTATCTCAATTTTGGGGGGGGGGTAGACGTCTCTCAGCGAACAAGCACCGCCGCTCGAAGTGCTCTCTCGTAAGCACGCACGGCCACGACAGAGGCTCTCGCTGAGCTTGCCCGACACCCCCGCCATGGCCGAAATTAATCTCGCGACACTTACGCAGGAGCAGCTCGACCGTCTCGTGCGCCAACTCGAAGATTCGGCGCTCGAAATTGCGGCACTCACGGCGGAACGCGACTCCGCTCGCCAGCAATCGACGGTGAATGCACCGGCACCAACACACGCACATGCAAATGCACCGGCACAATAGGAGGAACCGATCGTCATCTCATCAGGCACACCGACACAAAACGACAGCGTGGGACAACGCTCAGGCGTAGCCAGTGATCGCCACGCGCCTACGAGCCGCCGTCGCCAGAGGAAGGGCCCACGGGTCCAGCCGTCACCTGGAGTTCTTTCTACGAAACCGCCCAGTACAGCACGTGGGATGCGTGGTGCGCAGGGCTTCGGGCGCGCTTCGAGCCGATTGCGGCTTCTATTTCAGCGCGTCAGAGACTGCGTACTTGGCGACAACTCGGGTCGGTCCAAGATTATACGAGCGGTTTTCTCGCATTATGCGAGCAAGTCGGCTACATGCACGAAGCGGAGCGGGTGGACCATTACGTCGGAGGGCTGAAGCCGGACATCTCGCACGAAATCATGTTACGCGGGCTCTCAAACTTCAACGAGATCCTCGCACTCGTCGAGAAGATCGATATCCTACGCCGACCGAGACCGGGGTTCTACTACGGACAACGTCCTCGGGGACCGGCCGAGCACGCCACTGTACACGCCGTTGCAGCGAATGCAGCTGCCGCGCCATTTAAGGGGCGCTGCTTTTCTTGCAACAGGCCGGGCCATCGCAAGAGCGAATGCCCAGAGGAGCTGAGGCGCCGCGGAGCAGAGCAGAGGAGGGAATCTCAGAGGCAGGGAAACGCCAGCAGTCAGTAGAAATCGGGCGAACTACTGACGAGACAACCTGCTCGCCCAACCTCACCGACCCTCACCGAGTCACAGTACCGATTCACGCTATCGATCGGGCTCGGATGAATAAGGAGGGTACAGCGACGGATTGCCCAGTACTGATTCACGGGAAAATACAGGGAGCAGCAGTGAAGATTTTTATAGACGGAGGGGCAAGTCACAGCTTAGTTAATACTGCAACCGCACGGAAGCTACAACTGACTCTTAGTCGGTGTTTACCGGATGTAGATGCACGCTTAGTCGACGGCACGCCGCTGGCCATACGGGAGAAGGTGGAGAGAGTAAAAGTCCGATGCGGAGGGAACTTTGGGTTTACACAGGAAATGCTCGCGACGACACTGGATGGGCATGACATTTTACTGGGACATGACTGGCTGCGACGGTATAACCCGCGAATCGACTGGACGACGGGTAGCTGCACTGTGCGAAGTAGCGGTAACTGGGTCGTGCTACCTCGCTGGCAGTCGCCCGAGTCTTCAACGGTCCACGTCAACGCCATCGATGAAACGGGCTGTCGCCGCTGGAGCTGACGTGTATGCGGTGGATATAGCATTGGTAGGAGAAGCAGAGCAGCCGAGTGATTTTCAGAAACTGCTGGCAGCGGTACCACCCGAACTACAGGAACTGTTGAAACGGTACCCGGGGATTTTCCCGGATGACTTACCGAAGGGACTGCCACCTCAGCGGGCACATGACCACCGAATAGAATTAGAACCGGGGGCACAGCCAACCGTACAGCGACAGTTTCGACTGACACAGCCCGAGCTCGACGAACTGAGGAAGCAGTTAGATTACCCGTTAGAGTAAAATTTCATCCGACCGAGCTCGTCACCGTTCGCCGCACCGATACTATTCACACCGAAGAAAGACGGAGGGTTTCACATGTGTATCGACTACCGAGCACTGAACAGGGTAACAGTCAAGTCGCGATACCCCATTCCCCGCGCCGACGAACTGATAGATCAACTGCGAACAGCACGGGTCTTTTCGAAAATTGACTTACGGGGAGGTTACCACCAGATTCCAGCTGCGCCAAAACAGCATTTAGAACTAGGTACGGGTCCTTCGAGTACACAGTGATGCCATTCGGGCTGACCAACGCACCGGCGACTTTTCAGATCACCATGAACGAGGCGTTTAGGCCACTGTTAGATAAGTGTGTGATAGTTTACCTCGACGACATCCTCGTCTACAGTCGCGATAAGCAGCAGCATTTGGCAGATCTCGACGTAGTTTTTAAAGTTTTAGACGAGCACCGACTACTGACCAAGGGTTCCAAGTGCGAGTTTTTTCAGGACAGGCTAGAGTTTTTGGGCCGCGATATTTCAGAGGTTGGAGTTGAGATCGACCCCAAGAAGCTGGACACGGTGAAAGCGTGGCACCCCCCGACAAACATCACGGAGCTGCAGAGTTTTTTAGGGTTCGTTAATTATGTGCGTCGGTTCGTCCCCTATATGGCACGGTTAACTGCCCCGCTGACGGATTTACTGCGGAAGGGGGTCGCTTTTAGGTGGGGGGAGAAAGAGCATGCTGCCTTCTCTGCCCTGAAAAATTTTCTCTGTTCACCGCCCGTACTGCGCATCGCCACCCACACCGCCCATTCAAAGTGGTTACAGACGCAAGCGACATCGCCATTGGAGCCGTACTGCTACCACTCGCTATATAACTTCGCTCATGCTTTTCGCTCAACTGTATTGTTTTTGCTTCGATAGTGCAATTCTCGCTCGCTCGCTCAATTGCACTCGTAACACTTGGTATTCAGAGCCTACGATCTCCTCTCGGACCGCACCCACACCTTCGCTTCCCCACTATCTCAATTTTTTGGGGGGGTAGACGCCTCTCAGCGAACAAGCACCGCCGCTCCACACCGCCCATTCGAAGTGGTTACAGACGCAAGCGACATCGCCATTGGAGCCGTACTGCTACAGGATTTCGGCAACGGTTTACAGCCCATTGCATACGATTCACGAAAACTGCATCCGCCCAAGAAAAATTACCCGATACACGACCGCGAAATGCTCGCGATCGTGCATGCGTTCAAAGTGTGGCGCTGTTACTTGACCGGCGCAGACGTGACAGTACGGGCAGACCACAGATCACTACAGTACCTACGCGCACAGCCCCACCTCAACCCCGACAGATCCGCTAGCTCGATTTCCTAGAGTCAAACTTTCACTACACGGTCACCTACAAAAAAGGGGCATCGAACATTGCCGACGCACTGACCCGCCCCACTGCCCAAATCCACGCCATACTACTCGCCCAGATCAGCCCGCTATTAACAGGACTATTTACCCACGGCTATCAAACCGACCCATTCTTCACAGGTGGAAAGTCGCAGCAGTTCGCAGCAGCAAAGGGGGTTTATTACGTAAAAGCCGGCACCGACCGCATCTGGGTACCGGGCTACACTTTACTAAGGGAGCTGTTACTACAGGAGGCACACGGCGGGGTTACCTCAGGACATTTCGGAGTAGAAAAAACACGGCAGCAGCTGCAGCGGTATTACTAGTGGCCCGAAATGATGACCGACGTGCAACGACACGTGGCATCGTGTCCCACCTGCCAAATCATGAAGTCACCACGGAAACGGCCGGCAGGGCAGTTGCATCCGATACCACCCCCAGAGCGTGCTTGGCAGCAGGTGACGATGGACTTCGTCACGAGGTTACCGGCTGGAGCAAGTGGGAACGACGCGATCCTGGTCGTCGTCGATCGGCTGACGAAAATGGCACATTTCGCAGCCTGCAAAAAATCAATCACAGCCGAAGAAACAGACCGCCTCTTCATCTCCACCGTCGTTCGACTGCACGGGATACCAGCATCGACCATCAGCGACCGCGATACGAAATTCACCAGCAACTTCTAGCGGAACCTGTGGCAGCTGTTCAGCACGCGACTACAGTTCAGTTCTTCGTACTACCCCGAGACCGACGGACAGACAGAACGGACAAACCAGACCATGGAGCAACTCATCCGAGCCACGTGCGACGACCCGACCACCTGGGAACAGCAAATGCCACTCATCGAGTTCGCGTACAACAACTCGCCATCCGCCACGACCCAGCAGTCACCGTTTTACCTGAATTACGGACAAGACCCCACAGTACCCA